TCTGCAAGTCGTAAGTCAGTGCCTCACCAGCAATGAACCTCACCGCACGTCACTGGAAATCGCATAGCGAATTTGTGGGCAGAAAAGGACAGACCTGAGTGAGTAGGTTTAATCTGCAGAGTAGAAGATTGAGCATGAGAAAAAGGAAGCAAACAGGTGGAAGAACGATTTGTGGGAAAGCCATCTAGGACAGAAACAGTTGTTAGGAAGAGCAGAGCTTATTTGTTAGAAAGCAGGAAGTATTTGAATGCGATAACAGAGTTTTTGAGGGAAAGCGGTACAAAGTACTGAAAATAAGCAATCTTTCTCTCTGTAAGCGCTCTAAAGGTTTGAGTAAATATTTCCAATATACACATGCCTAGTGAAACTGTATCCAAAAAATTAACCTTTTTTCTGTGACTTTGTATTTTTATGATGTAAACCAGTTTGAAATGCCTTGTTGCTGAAAGGTGCAATACAAATGAAATTTGATTTCATTTGATGCTTTTGGGAGACTTCTGATGTCTTTGTTTGCAAAATGTTGCCAGGCTTGGATGTTCTTCTTTGTGCATAAAAGTAAGCTTTGTGATCCTCTGAACCTTTTTGTAATTAGTGTATTGTAAGTCATTTTTACAGGTGCCTGCTGTCTTATTTCTGCTGTGAACTTGCTGACAGGTTTCAGAGGACCGTTCTTGACCTGACGCTGCCGTGGAGATTTGCCAACCTTCCCAACAATGCCAAACTGGAAATGGTGACAAGCACAAGGAAACAAAGTGGAGCTGACAGCCAGGTTAGTTCACTTAACTATTAAAAATATGTGTGTGAAAGAATAAGAAAATGGTGTTAAAATCTGGCCATCACCAGAACCATTAAGACATCACCAGTGGCAACATTGAACGTGTCATTTATTGGTAAGTCTTCATATCTGCATTTACCTTTGAGATTTTAGCTCCACAGGTGAGTTTTTTTTTTTTTGACAATTTTCTGTACTCTAAAACAATTCAATTCAAATTTAGAAATACTCTATAATCCCTTCGGGAATGTTGTTGTAATTTATTAATTTAGATTCTTTAAAGAGTTATTGAAGATTGAAGATGGCTGTTGGCAGGAAAGATCTCCTGCAACGGTCTGTACTACACTGAATCTGAAGAAGCCTCAGAAATTAATTGAGAAATTCACTTAAATTAATATACCATAGGTAATTTTAAATCTCCAATCCATGAATATTTTTTACATTGTTCTAAATCCATGTGTGTGAAAGCTCATTTATTGGGTGCGTCTAGATAATTTCTTTTGAATAAATCAGCAACTCGTCACAATTACGATGTTGTCAAAGTTGGTTCAAAAGCAGTTTGTCGTCCAGAAAGGATTACATCGAGGCAAACGGGCGGAAATGTTTTTTTTAAGCGCAATTAGATCCTTTAATAAATTTGAAGTATTACAACATTACCCGTTACTATTAATAATAATATCAAGTACTAGATTATGACCTTTTTCTTCAATAATAGTGGCTTCATTGCATTCAGAGTTGTTAACAGCTTTTTTTCCAAACCTCAAATACTAATCATATGGCTGGCATTTTTTTATTTTTTTTTTATCAATGCTCTTCCACATGTTTCAAAATTTGTAGCTGTAAAAAGTCTGTTGGATGAAAAACATTTAGTTTTAGTAATATTGGTGTTTGTGGTCTCTGGTGTACGCAATGAAAGAGCGTATTAGGTAAATAGTTTTGCATGCAGTTGTTTGTAAGCTGCCTGATGAAGTAAAGGTCCACCTGGATTTAACTAGGCAAACGGCCTGAACTGGAAAGTGATGCTGCATTCAACTATGTTGCGGCTGTTAACCAGTTAATTAACTAACTGATGTAGTCAGTGACTTCCTGTTGTTTAATGAACCTTCGCTTGGATTTGAAAGAGTGAGAGAATCGATCTATCTGTTCGTCCGTTCGTCCAGTCCGATGTTCGTCCAACTAAAGAAGTCAAGTTTATTTGTATGGCACATTTCAGCAACGAAGCAGATCAAAGGGCTTTTACATGATAAAAAGTATAATACAGTAACCAACCGTGAAACAAGCGACAAACATTACATTTTGTCAAATGGCATCATTGTTGTCCATCATGTGTTGATCTCTTTGTCTGACCATCCATCCAACCATCCATCCGTTTCACAATCTAGAACATCCGTCATCTGTGTGTCCGCTCGTTTAAATTATTTATAAAATAATAGTGAAATTCTGTGTTTATTCTTCCAAAATATACAGAAAACCCTGGAAATCTGAGTCTGGAAAGTTAAAAGTTTGATTATGAGCATGTGGCTGGCAACCCTGTATTACTTGCTGATAAAAACATTTGTACTTTATCTCCTACATTAGTGGCTCACCTTGGTGTGTGAGTTTCATCGTCAGTTTCAGGTTTTGGTCAATTTCTCTGTTCGCTCTCACTTGTCTCCATAACAAAAACAAACAAAAAACACACTTTGTTGCAGCTGAGCTTTCCTTTCCTCTGACATCACAGCTTGATGATCTGATCCGTAAACTCAATGCTGCATTTGATCTGCTGCTCTGTTCGTCTGACGGATGGTTGATTTGTTGATCCCTCACAGATTTTTATATATGTTCACATGACCACTCGCCTCAGACAGGCAGGCGTGTGTGAGTGTGTGTTTGGTGTTGACAGCAAAGTCTCTCTTTTCATCTATCCCGGTGAGCCGCCGTTTAGCGCTCTCCCTCTTCTGGACAACGGCACCGTTGAGTAAACATAAACAACCCGTAGTGTGACTCAGAGGCTGAGAACATCAGCCTCGCTCTGTTGCCGGGTGTGTTACTCATTTTCGCGCTGATGTAGGCCCACATGTGCGACCAAAACAAGTCGGATTATCAAAGAGTTTATTCCTCTGAGAAAATGGCTCCAGATCAAAGAGCCAATAACTTTTCCTTAGATTTAATCAATGTGAGATCCTTGAGGCTCAGTAATGTAGAACATTATTTTTAGCTTCTCTAATGTGAAGAAAGACAAAGGAACAAACTTCAAAGTGCTTTATATTGCCCGTTTTACCCTGAAAGTAGTGTTCTGGTATTTTATTTGTTTTTTTCATTTTGAAGTTTATTGTGGATGAACTGATGCTGAACATTTACGGGCGCTAGTTACTCCTGCATCATGTTTGTTTTAGTTGGAACGCGTGTGCTCTCTGACGCAGCTTGTGTGTTCTTGTGGCTCGCTGCGCATCAGGTGCGGATCGCGCTCCAGATGGAGGACGGCTCTCGGCTCCAGGGTTCCTTCTCCTCCGGACAGAGCCTGTGGGAAGTGATCGCGCATTTCCCTATGATCAGGTGCGTGCTGAACGTGCAAGAAGATCGGGACGGGACCGAACAGATTCCCTTCTTCAGTAGCAAGTTGTTGACAGATTTAGCGTTATAAACTCAGACGATGATGAACTGTTAAAACTACAGCAGTTATGCCTGAATCAAAGGGAGCTTATTTCAAATTTGAACATATTTTAGTAATTAGATCAGAAATAACTATTTGAAAGGAGTATTAAATGTTACATTGTAAAAGTTGATGAGCTAAAATTAATTACATTTATTTACTTTTTTTTTTTTTTAACATGTCCTAAGTTATTGTATCAGTGCTGAGGAGAAGCCCAGTAGATTTACTTTCATTAGTGGAGCATTACAGCATAAAATGAATGAATTATAGGAAGTAGACAGTTTGTCCCACATGTGCAAAAACGTCGTTCACTGACATTACCATAAACAAAAAACTAAAATGCATGATAGAAAAACACTAGAGCAACAGATGAAATTACAGTAACGTTATCTATAACAAAAAATAGACGCTAAAATAAAAAAATCCAAACAATTTTTGAATAAATAAATGACGAAGAAGAGGTTAAAGGCGATGCTGCTGCACAAAATGAACATACCCCTTATGGGTTCTGCAGATTTCGGCTCGCCGTTGCATGAAAGATGAACACGGGCCAAACCGACATCCTCCGTCAAAGCCTTTTTTTCCCCACACATCCTCTCCCACCTCTCATACTCATGCAGCTGTTACCCAGTAGTGCCAGGTGCTCCTGCAGTCCACCGGCCTTCATCACGGCTCCATTGAATTACGTCACTGCATATCCTGATTCTCTGCCAGCAGAGTTATGCTTCTGATTGGTTCCACATCGACGGGGGGGAACAAAAATGTAGGGAATGTAGGTTGGCTTTGATTTTCAGGAATTTAGGGGAACAATAGTAAAATGTTTAGTTGGTTTCTGCACGACATTGTAAGCACATGGCTTACACATGCAGCGTGCCACTGCATACCATGTGGTTTTATTGGTGCACCCCTCTTAAACAGGGGAATAGCAATAAAAAGAAATGCGTCTTATTTTTTGTTGTCACAGTGAAAGTAAGCTATTACCATTTACCTTTGGTTTTAATCTCGGTTTCACTGTCACTTCCCTGGATCCTGACAGAGTGTCGGAGCTGACCGAGTCCGGAGCCACTCCTGCATGTGTTTACATGAGGGACGAGGTATGAAGCCTTCCTTTAACTCTCCCTTTCTCAAGAGATGAAAGTGAGCTCTATGGAAACACAGCTGCTTGACCGTGTGTGTGTGTGCAGGTGAGTGGGGAGGAAGCGTTAAAGAAAACCACTCTAAAGTCTCTGGGTCTTACAGGCGGAAGCGCCATTGTCAGGTAGGCTGCAAACATCAACTCTTATCCTGCTGGAATATCGAAACATATTTTTGTTCAATTTCTTTTAATTTATTTCCACTCTTTCTTTGAGCAAAAAAAAAAAACAATTAGCTGACCTCTAGCCTGAATCTGAAGTAATGTCTGAATTTCTCTTAAGTTTAAACAACAAACCACAGATTGGGATTGTTGTTCCAGCCTCTGGTGTTTGCAAAAAAATATTTCTTGGCCTTTAACTGCACTTTATTTTCTGTTGGAGTATTGTTAAGGTTTAATGTTTAAAAAAAAAAAACAACTAACTCCTAGACACACTTGTTGTTGAAATTCATCCCATTTAAACACCAAGGAACATTTCTGTATCAGACATAAAAATAATGACTCACCAATCAGAACTTAGTGGTTCATTTTTGTCTTTGATAAACGCTTTGACCTTAAATTTTACAATCCAAGTAGATGAGCACTGAGTATATTTTTTTCTAGCCTTTCTGCTGTGTGATCAGTTATTTGTATTAGAAGAAGAGCCAGCGTTATTCCACTTTAAAACAACGTTTTACCATTTTGGAATAAAAACAAAATCATTAATGAAGCTCCATTTTTAGCGATTAGCGCGTTTAGCATGACAAAAACAACAGCTTTCTCTATTCTAGAGTACCTACAGTAGAGCCTTCACTAAACTTTACCTGAAGATTGTCAGCTTTTTTTTTTTATTAAACATTTAGCATAACAGGTAAAAACTAATAAAATATGGTAAGCACAGCATTGCTGCTTTACAGCTAACCTTCCTATTACCTGCCAAAGTCCTGTTCTCTCTCACTTTTTTGCAACATGAATAAATCTCCAGGTTTTCTCAACATAGCGTCAACAATACAAGTGACCAAATGGAGCTGAAATATGTTAAACAAAAGCTAACAGTTGGAGAAGTTGCACTGCTTCCTCGAATTATTGTCTAAAAACAAAAGCTGTAAAAGGTCAGTGGAAAGTGTCCGGATTTGATCACTGGTGAATTTTTCTGGTGATCGTTAGACGTTTGTGGCTTGTTTACATTGTGTTGTTTTCTCTTTCACTTTAATTAGCAAGAGCTCACAAGTTTAGAGATGTGACTATAACACTTCCTGTTCCAGGTTTCTACACAAAAAGAATCAAGCAGCAGCAGAGGAAGATGGACCTGCTGCAGCGCCAAGCACACCTGTTGCAATGGAAGCCGCTCCCAGCGAATCGCCTCAGCCCGACCCCGCGCCGTCGATTCCAGTGGCGTCAGCTGAAGTTGTGCCAACCAGTGAGTCGGATCCACACGAGCCATCGCAAACCCCAGCTGCGCCAGCTGTGCCAGCTGCGCCAGCTGTGCCAGCTGCGCCAGCTCCAAGCTCCGTTGCCGAAGACGTTCCTAAACCTCAGGATGTGGTTCAACCCAAAGTCCAGAGAGCAGTGGAGGACGGAGAGGAAGCCGGACCGTCAGGGTTGAACTCTCTCCCGGCCGCCTCTGCTCCAGCAGCTGCTTTCATTCCTTTCTCTGGCGGCGGTCAGCGACTCGGGGGTCTGGCCGGAGAGATGGGCCACTCGCTGTCTTCGTCCTCGTCTCTGGCGGCTCTAACCCCGACCGTGCAGTCGCCCAAAGCCAAGAAGGCCAAATCAAACCACAGCACTAAAGTGAGCCCCAGCAGCACGCCACATGCGTTACGTTTTTAATTAATACACATCAAAGTAGAGGGGAACAGCTTTAAAAGCTAGCTGTCATGGAGCATCAGAAGATGTTGAAAACACAAACGCTTTAGAGCAAGTTTCACCTCCGCCCTGATCAACATTTTGTTTCTGAGGTAGAATGAGGAAACGTCACTGATGAGACCATAACAAATTTGATGTCGGGATGTTTAAAATCACCTTGAAATGATTTTCACGAGACTTCTTGGCTTTACTGACGAGCGTAACTTTTGTCTCGTCAGTGCAAAGCGACTGTCAAATCGGCAGACCGGGATCTGGATAACACAGAGGAGTTTCTGGAGGTAAACATTTAATTTCTCTTTTTGAGTTATATTCTCTTTATTTACATATAGATTCTTCTCCTGCATCTTCTGATTCATTACATTTTCAACAGTGTTCATTCTTTTCCCATTCTGTAATCTTACACTCGCAAACATTAAAGCATCTTTTGGAGGTAGATGATCACAAAGTAGCACATAAATGTGAAATAATAAATAAAAAAAAAATAGGGCCTCTCTCTTTTTTTATTTTACAAATAAATACATACAGGGTGTGTAATGCATTTGTAGTTAATGCCTTCAAAGAACAACTTTTTCCTGCAGTTACAGCATCAACTCCTCAGTTTTCTCTCTACTTTGCCCAGGTTTTTCTGCTGAATAGCTCAGGCTCAGTCAGATTGAATGGATAACATCTGTGAATTTTATTTCTTGTGACAAATTCCCAAATTCATTCAAATGTCTGAATTTTGTCTGAAACAGAGGGGAGAGACAAAGTGTAGCCACTGCATGATGTTACCATCGTTTCGTTGTGGAAACGGTTCTCATTAGAGGTGTGCTGATCGATCGGTCACCGATCATAATCGGGCCGATTTTCGTGAAAAA